ACACACACACACACACACACACACACACACACACACACACACACACAACTCTGCTCGGCCTAAAACAAAAAGCACAAAGTTTCCAAATGGATCTGAACGTAGAGGACAGGAAGTTATCACAACCCTTAAAACATTAAAAGCTCCTAAAAAAGGGTTTTTTTCAGTCAAGCGGTCTAACGAGGAGTAATGAGCAGTGATGAAGCAGCTCCTCCTCCTCCTCCTCCTCCTCCTCCTTGACCACTCCTTCACACGTTTTCAGGCCCATCTTGTATCTGCAGGCAGGGTGTGGTCTTCAGCTGCTGCGGTGGAAACTCTTCATCGTTCACGTTAACGGCCCAGTTTTGACCCAAACGGATGAAACGTCTCGGTTCAGGTCAGCTCTGCATGCAGAAACTAATCAATGAGCTCTTATTTTGAAAAGCTGTTTCCTGCTGTTCCAGGTGAACACCTTGGAGAGGTGAGAGCTGCAGAAATCAGGAGCTGAAGGATCCCACCAGAAACTCCCTCAGCCGAACTTCGGCTCACCTCCTGCCCTCGAAGTGCTCTCACCACTTAAGTACAGGTTTGAGTGCGAGTGCTAAACTGCGAGGCGAAGCTGTAATTATCGCATCTCTGCTTCGGCTGTTTATTTACAGAACATGCAGCTTCAGAGGTGGAAGGTCTTCAGACAGGAAGCAGCTTCCAGACTCACCCTGAGCCGAAGACGCTGGACTCCTCAGGACTCGTGGGGATGAAGAAAGATTTAAGAAGTCCAAGCTGGGCTCTTGCTCATTCTCCTCCTGGTAAAATCCTCCAGCACCTCCCTGAGGAAGAGGCAGTGATGGTGTGAGGGGGGGTCCCTGCCGGTCTCACACCAGAGGAGCAGTGGTACTGAGCTCCTGCCTGAGATGGGACAAACCTCCACTGCTGCAGCGTCGCCTCCTTCCTCCTCCCACTTTCTCCAAAGAAAGGAGGGAAAAGTGCACGGAGGGGGGGTTAAATGAAAGCCAGACTCCCGGCCCTGTTTGGTCTGGATGTGAGAGGGGAGGAGGATGATGTCACACATCTGGAGAGGGCTTTCCTCTACCTTCATCAGGACCTCCTCCTCCTCCTCACGTTGGGCGTTGGATTTGAATTTTGACGGATGTTTGAGATGCGACCCCCACTCGTTCTGGACCGTGTCCCGGTCCGGAGCTGCTGTAAACTCACCATCTCTGGACCTTCACCATGACTCACAAATCCTCCTGGAAAGCTTCAGCCGGAGATGCTGCAGTGAGAGAACAGTTCGGTAAAAACACAACGTTTTGAGGAAAACGTTTTTCCTCCGTGCACGAAGCACTTCTGTTAAAAGCTCCGTGGACCAATCTCAACAGAAATGTTTAGTTTGTGAACCAAACGGCCGTGAAGCCGCCGTTTCCATGAAGCAAACATTCACCGTTCGGGCTCACGCAGATAAATCTGTTGTTCTTTCAAAACTATTTGTTTTTTCATTCAACCTTTGTTTATACCGGTTAGTCTCATTGTGTCACGAGGACTCTTTTACAAGAGAGACCTGTTTTAAACAAACAGATAAGGTACAGCCAACAATAAAATTTAAATGAAAATAAAAGTAATGTTATGAACAATAAACTCAAGGTGTCTTAAAAACAAAATCATATTTGCTTTGTTTCTTTTAATGATCTTATCATTGTTTAAAATCCCCTTAAAGAGATCAAAGTGGACAACTTCAGGTCTTTATGCAAGGTGTTCCAGGAGCAGAGTAAGAAAAGGCCTTTTTGCAGAGTTCAGTCCACAATGAGGGGACGCTGCATGTAATGATGTCTTGAGAGCGCACGCTGTAACTGCACTGACAACTTGACATATAGGAGAAGATACATGAAGGCAGCAGACCAAGGAGTGATTTATAGATGTACGTGTACATAATGACGCCCAACAGACCAAGGAGTACAAGGTGCAGTGATGGGTATGGTAGTTATAACCAGTTATGAATCTTAGCGCACCGTGATAAGCAGCATCCAAGATCTGCAAGGAGCTGGCAGGAGCATTTATATAAATAATTTCACTATAGTCAACGGAGGGGTGGAAAGTAGCTGTTACAAGGTGTTTCCTGGCATTCAGAGTTAAGCAAGACCCGTTTCTGAAAAAGAAACCCAATTTTAATTTCAGTTCCTTTATCAAGTTGTGTGGTTTAAAAGAGAGATGTGCATCGACCAAAATTCCCAAATTTCTGTAAGAATCCACAAACTCGATAGGAACACCATGCGTGGACAAGATAGTAGAAAGAGTTGCTGGCACCAACTTTCTGTTTGAAAGCAGCATCCCTTTGGTTTAATCAGCATTTAGCACTAGTTTGAGACGGAACAAATCTGACTGGATGATGCTGAATGCAGACTGTAGAAGCTGGAATACCTTAGCAACTCATTTAGCTCGACAATAAACAACTGTTTCGTCTGCATAGAGATGTAGGGAGGCGTCAGGAATGTTCTGACCTACAATACTTATAAAGAGAGTGTGTCCTAAAACTGAGCCTTGTGGTACCCCATGATTGACGAGCTAGAATAATTACCATCGTGTTGAACACATTTCCTTCGACCTGAGAGATAATTTGAAAACCATCCGATAGCGTGATCTGAGAAACCAATATCTGAGCTTATAGCATAAGATGTCATGTTTGATGACATGAGGTTTGATTTAATAAACAATCATTGTCTCTTCAGTCCCGGAAATTTTGGTTCTTGTAAAGAACAGACAACATTTGTGTTTTCCCTGAGTCTGGCCACGCCCACTCACACCTGCTTCCTGTCCCATGAGGCTCAGCTGTCTCCAGTCGTCTCATCAGGTGAACCCTGTGTTCTCTTGTGCTGCCTCGGACTAGTTGTGGTTAAAAACCTACAACCTCTGAAACGCTCCTTTCTGCATTAAATAAAAATATTTATGGTTTTATGTCGCTAAACCTCTACCCATCTTTACGTCTGAGGGATTCAGACGCTCTAAAATGGTTCCAGTTCTCCTGCAGCTGTTTTATTTTATTGTATCTTTTACTTTTACAGCTTTTTGTTGAGCTCATCCCAAACAGTTTTCAGATGTTTGACTGTCATAAAATTCAAAGATACCTTATTTTTCTTATAAAACTGTAAAAACGAGTCACTTTTAACGTTGTTTACCAATTCCATCGTGAACAAAACACAAATTTACGAGCTTTATAAATCAGTTTTATTTGTTTTACATGACGTCACAGCTGGAGTTACCACATTAACGTATACGTTCAGGCATGAGTTTATAGGTTAGTATATTTATGGTGTTTACAGTTTTGCACAACGGGGTGAAGTTAAACAGGAAGTCTCCCAGCAGCCGTTTGCTGTCAAACCCTTAAAAACGCCTCGGCCCGACCCAAACGGAGACGACTTCTGCAGCATTCCTCTTCAGCAGCAACTCTGTTCCCAGAGGTTCGAGTGCGCTGAAGTTTTTGTTGGACTTTTTCAAACTCGGTGGCTGAACGTGAAACAAAACCAGAGCGGTGTGTGATCTTTGCTGCGTCAGTCCGTTGATCAGTTCGTCCACTTTGTGGAAACCGTTGAATCCAGCACGAGGTGACATGTGGAAACGTTTAGAACAGTGGCCCGGTTCATCCGTGTTCTGCTGTCTGAAGGTCATTACTCACACTTCCTGCGCTGCTCTGCAGTGTTATGACGGTGCTAGGCAACGACTGCTGCGAGAGGAAAAAATGAAGAGAGGCGAGCAGCTGGGCCGTCCCGACACAGAACCATGGAGGCAACAGCAGCTGGACTCTTGTGTTCATGCAGAACATCGGTCCAAATCAGAGGGACATGTGAGAAAATCGGCTTCACGGTGAAAATGTATTCTCATGCGAGAAAACGTTCACGTATCCGGGAACGATCAAACCTTCCATGAGATGGTAACGATGCTGATGATAAAGACAGCAGAGCTGAAAGTTTCCTGTTTGCAGTTTCAGGTTCTCGGAAATGAAAACGTCTCTTTTCTCCACCTGCGGTTGAAGCTTCCTCATTTTTCGTTAAAGTCTCTGACGTTCTCCCTGAGGTAACAGCTGGGATGGCTCCAAGCTCAACCCAATGCACACCCGGCGGTGTCTCCAGAACGTCCCACCGTGAGTCTCAGAGGGTCTGACGTTAAATTATAAACATGCTCCTCAGATCAGTTGCAGGGTCGTCCCCCACTCAACCCGTCTCAGGAGTGCAGGAGCTGTACCTTAAACCGTGCAGGGCGCGCTCCTCTGAGAAAACAAAATGCATTTGTCCACCTGCAGGGGAGCTCTGCTGGCCTCACTCCCGTCTGAACGTAGAAACCCAGCAGAGCAGAACTTTTAACAGTTTGACCATAAATCGAACGATTTAAAGCTCAGCTGGACAGACTGAGCTGAAGTCAGCATGCAAAGAAACGTGAGCGCGCCGACCTCCATCAGGGTCGAGTTAACGCCGCTCAGGATGGAGGTCACATGACTAACGCTCGCTTTTCGGTCAACTTCAAAAGTGCACCGTCCGGAGGTCTGCAGAGAATTATGATCAAAGGGCAGGATCAGGCTGGATCGCATCAACATGTTCCGTTCGGTTCTTCCTGAGGTTGGAGTTTTTACCAAGGCCGGCATTCTCAGATTCCAGAAACCGGTTTCATCCCGACCCACATGTGTGTTCTGTGTTTTCCACTTTTCAGAACCGCCCATCAGCTCTGGAAAACAAAACTCTTAGCAACAACTTTTTATTCAAGCCAGAGGTCAATGTTTTCATGACTTCTGGTGTTTTTTCTGACCTGTGATCAGTTTTAAACCGTTTCTTACTCCTGAATGACCCTTATCCTCATTTCATTAAGAGATGTTAGATACTGATGCCTGTAGGCAGGAAGGATCTCTTGAAGAAACTGGATGCAGATGCCATCTGATCCATCTACCCGGACTCGGCTGGCCTCTTGGATCGTCCAGGCTGCAGGACCAACAGGATGCTGGGCAGAACTCCTCCCAGAGCGACGGCCACTCCTCCCAGCAGCCTGCTGAGCTCCTTGTTGCTGCGGACAGATGGCTGCAGGTGCCGGGAGACGATCCCGGTCCTTCTGCTGTCACGAGCTGTGTTTCCTGCTGGTTCCAGGATCTCAGTGGTCAGGCACTTGAGCACAGCCAGCAAGGAGACGGGAATGCATCCACGGTGCCTCCTTTTCAACTCATTTGAGATTTGGGGCTGTAGCTGAGATATTATTTGAACTTTTGAGATGTTAATCAGCTGCTCCTGGTTATCAAAAAAACCCACCTTATTATGGATACGCATCATGACAAATGTCCAAAAGTAAAAAAGTTTCAGTAAAAATCCTTTCAGCTGCACAGCATCTGATACCAGAGGAAACAATCATCACAAGAAATGTGATTTACATCCAGAAAAAGAGGAATTAAAGTTTCCTAAAGCAAAATCTCAAAATGAATGTAACAGAGCTGCTCCAACATGCAGCCACCCTTCGTCAGTGCAGTTACAGCGTCAAGACATAATTACCTGCAGTGTACCCTCAGTGCAGACCAAACTTGGCAAAAGGGCTTTCTCTTCCACTCCTGTAACCTGGAATTTCTTGCAAACAAATCTGAAGATGTCAACTTTGACCACTCTAAGGGATTTTAACAACTGTTAAATTCATAGCAAAAACCAACACAGACATGTTCCAGTTTTTAATATTTTACATGACTTTATAATGTAGCTGTTTTTTCTTCTATGTACTTTTCATTGTATCTTTCATCTGTATCTATAATATGATTGTCTGTTGTTGTGTGTACCTCATCTGTGTTCATTGTTTAAACAGGTCTCTCTTGTAAATGAGTCCTCGAGGCTCATTGAGACTAACCTGTATAAATAAAGGTTGAATAAAA